AGCTCAAGCTGGGTCAAATTGTTGGACTATGTGCTCTTTTTTGGGGGCTTTCAAAATCTGCCCAGGATTGCATTTTGTGGAGTATGCAGTCGCAGCATGTCTCAGGGGTGGAAGAAACAGAACATAGTGATCCTGATGATGATGATGATTCTGCAAGCGACTCATCAAGTTCAGAATCTTCTTTGGGGGCACGCTCACGTTCGCCAAGAAGAATGAAGAGTTGGTACATCCAAGGTGCCGTTTCAACATTCAATGAACAAGGTGTCTAGTTGTTGCGCATGTCAGCATTGCTGCCTTTGCCCTGGAAGGTATACAAGTATGCAGGGATGCCTTCAAAAAGCTGTTGGGGATTGGCGCCACACGCTTGGTGCGAACACGGCACAACTTCAAAGGACAGGACATGCGCAAGTTTGGGGCTACTGGCCATCGTTGTGCAGAAGCGGCGGCATCTGTGAGTAGCTTTCTTGAAAGGTTATACTACAGCATCGCAGAGACACTCCCCCACGAGCCAGAGCCTCGGGTTGCCATGCTCCTCACCTGCGCAGTGTTTACAGATTGAAACTGTACCTAGGCTTAATGTTCGAATGCCTGGAGCTCAAAAGAATTGCACCCTTGACACAAACTCTTCCCGTGCGAGCCTGTTACAGTCCTTGCTTGACTCAGCCCTTGAAAGTGATTTGGCACGTGGTGTTGTTCGCCGGGGTGCAGAAGGCTTGGCACGACGAGCGTTGCCGCCGGGGAAATTTACAGACCTATATCATTTGTATTGCAGCCATCAACTTTCATCTGGGGCACCCACGGCGAGCTCCACCACTTTCTTCCGTGTGCTCAATGAGAGTGGGTGGCGAAAGGTTTTGTATTTCAGACCCAAGAGCCAACACTCCATGTGCCATGTATGCCATCAGCTTAAAAGCAGAATCCGCAACGCCCGAGGGGTCCAAGAGCATGCAGCAGCGTGTGATGAACTATACCGTCATTTAGCAGGACAGTTTGCCGACCGACAATGCTATTGGGAATTCAGGGCAAGATCAAAGCATGAGGGTGACATGATTACAATAATCTGCGACGGCATGGACAAGAGCAAATTTTTGCTCCCCAGGTATGCCGAGGGGAGAACGCCCAAGCAGCTAGAAACAATGACACGGCCAAGCTGCGAAGTTTACACTGTGATGGTTCACGGACATTGCATTTGCACCTACATCACGGACTCTGACCAAACAGCTGGAACAAACTGGGTGATGGAAACCCTAAGCAGGTCATTGGACAAGGCCTACAAACATGCACAAGAACAGCAGAAACCATGGCCTCGCATTCTCAAGGTATTTGCCGATAACACTCCCAAGGACCACCCAAAGATCAGGCATGTTTGAACGGTTGGAGTTGGAACTAACCAAGTCACATGTTTGTCCCAGCCACCCTTGAGGAGGTTAAGAACGGAGTCTTTGGGGCGTGGCTATCAGCCCTAGTAGCTGGCGGCTGGTTTAGCCTGGCTGCAGAAGAGCACCTTATGATGGGGCATACGCATGAGGATGTAGGCCAGAGTTGTGCAAAGCCTGTTGCTGGTGTGAGCTTGGTTTCAATGCTGCCCCCTTCAGATGCCTACTTCGGATTGCTGAGTAAGTTCATTCGTGAGGGTGACGACCAAATGCGCCCAATCTGAAACACACCTGTTTCAATGCACATTGCGGTGTACCCACTTCGCCCAGGCAAGAACCAGAGGACATCGCCCAGCCCGGGCCTCACCTAAGTTTCTTTTGGTTTTACCATTGACTCCTTAGACATGGGTTTCGCTTGAAAACTGAAAACACAAAAAAGTCATTGGGGTGCCTCAATGTTCAATCAAGATCAGAAAGATAAAGGGAAAACCACATGTGGATGTACATATTATGTTGAACTTATTTGCTGATTTAGAAGTGGCTTGCCCCGAAGGCTTCTGAACACCAAAGTGCGACCGCTCTTTGAAGCACGTGGGTTTCAATTCCATGTCGAGTACATCAACAACTACCGGACCTGGAAGGACTCCATGCCTGCCTTTTCAACCATATATGGAGCCTACAAACGGCGAAGCATCAAGGATGACAAATCTGTACCGCACTCTTTTACATTTTTGAGGCGTGAGAGTATCTTGGAGTGAATCTTTGCAGGGCATCAGATTCATGAAAACTATGGTTTTCCAAGCCCTCGCATGGCCGTCCAGCTCCAGGCATGCCTCGCCGTCTTCTTGAACAAGCTGAAGATCGCCTCAGGGCGCCATACACACCGTCGCCGCAGGACGTGTTCTGCTTGGTGAAAGGGTATGTGAGTGATGCAGATCTTGCTCAGCCACCGCTGTTGGTTTACCCTGGGTGCAAACTTGATGAGTTGAACCAAGCAATGCGTGCTCTTGGAGAAGGAAGGGTTCCATGCCTCTTGGAGATATGTCTTTTCTACAGTTTGTTTTTGTGTGTGATGACCGTCTAGTTTCATGGCCTTCCACCAAACATGTTGACCTAGTTTGATTTTGCAAAAGCAGATCACAACCAACATGTGAACCCTGATTAATGAAAGTTTGCCTCGCCCCCAACTCACCACATGCTACCTGCTGGAACCAAGGTATGGGGACGCACATATCTGATGATCGGAAAGCGGAACTGAAGGAGCTTGCAGGGCATCTCACTTCGTTTTACCCAAATCTTGGCCGTGGGGTCAGGTATTTGTTGCAACTTGCAGGGGAGGTGGCTGTGATTCGCCAGCAAATACCCCAACTGCAATTCATACTTAATGGGGCCTCTCCTGGAATTCAGCGAGGAGCACCTGTGCTTTTGGACCCATCACCGCATGTGATGCACAAGCTCAAAGTCCGGTTTCACAGAGTGTGAGAAGATGCACGCGTGTGTGTGTGTGTGACAAAGGGACCATGCAGGTGCCACTTTTAACCCAATGACAAGTTTGCACAGGCCTCACCATTTGTGCACTGACCGGACATGTCTTTGGTGGCTTTGGGTGAAACTCAGGATTTTGGCTCACTTGGGGCTAACTGCGGCCCATTTGGGGGGGCTCACTGGCTTTGGTTGCAGGCAGGATGGTTTGGCCTTCCCTCTTCATGTACTACTTGTCTGTGTTTCTTCCTTGTCGCAGGGCTGCCATGAATGCGGCTCTTGAAGTGAAGACCGAACCGGATATCAAGGCCAGGGGTCACACCTTACCTTTTCCCATGCCCCTTCTTGGCCGTTCCCAGGCAGCTCTGGGCGTCCCAAGCTCCATCCGCGAGCGCCTCCTGGTGGCGTTGGATGAGGCGCTGGAACAATCACTTGGGGAATAACCATTGGGGAAGAAACACTTGCAAACCAGATTGATTTGCCCTCCTGGCAGGTGACTGCGAACAACAACCTGGGGCGCTGGCTCTGGGACCAACATGGAGAGAAGCAAGAGGAATTCTGCAAGGCCAACGCAACACATGCTTCAAGTGGTTGCTTACCCCCCTCAACAAGTGGCCTCATTTGCTACTTCTAATGACTCTTTGGGTTGCAGGCTATGGCGGCCTACCTGGCAGTTCAGCAGGTCGCTGATGCTATCCCAAGCATTAATGGTGCTGTGCTTAAGTCGGCGCCGCCGACCACTCGAAAAGGATTCTACTTGACCCCCTGGATGCTTGACTTTTCAGAGGATGCGAAGGTTGGAAAGTTCCCTAGCAATGTTGCTGCACCCGACTCCACCTGCCCTCCATCTTGCAGCGCGGCTTTGAGACCGAAAGGGAACCGCTGGAGGTTCGCTTTCAATCAGGGGTGACCGAGCTGGGCTTGTTCTCTGTCAAGTACATCGACGGCCATACCAAGGGGATGTTGGTGCAAGCAGTGTTTGGGCTGCTGATCTACTGTGTCCGACCCTTACTTCCCACAAAAAGCAAGAGTGTAAAGCAAAGAGCAGAGTGCAGAACAGCTTTTTGACCCATCTGCCCAGGACATTCAGCTGGAAGAGCTGGCTACTGACTCAGAGATGTGCCGGGTGGTGGGGACCTTGAAGTACATGCGTGCTAACTTTGTCCATCAGAAATCTGAAGAGTGCTTTTACTACGAAGCCCTCAGTCCTTTGGCATATTTGGATATGTTCTGAAAACAGCCAATGCATGTTTCTTTAAGGCTGACTCCCTGGTTGGTGTTACAATGATGGCCAAGCTACAAACAACATGATGCTTGATTATTATTTTGGAAGTTTGCAGCCCTAGAGGCCTTGGATTTCGTACTGCAGAGAAGCAACGTCCTGGACCCCTGGACCTGACCTTGCTTTTCAAAGGCGTTGTGAAAGTGAAAAAGCTGTCCAGCCCTTCAAGCTCTGTTCGGGACCTCTTGAACAAGGCGATCGCCGAATACAACAAGGCATGCTCGCAGAAGAACTGGCGGGTTAATGAGGCTACAAAGCGGCTTGTGTACAACCTCATCAGGTGCCCGCAAGAACTGCTGCAAATCTTGAAGGCAACAAATGACAAGAGCAGGTGGGAGCACAGCCCCTTCACCCTGGAGAACCTTGAGGGCGACTTTTATGTCCCAGGTCACACCTTTGGGAACGTGCAAACTCCGCCGTGGAAGGAGCTCAAGGCGTTGTACCAGGGAGTCAGTGCTTAGGATGTGTGTTTCTCATGGCCTCAAACCCCAAGGCAACAAATCACAGTAAATTGTCAGTTGTTTGGAACCCCTTGTTTCTGCTTCCTCATGTCTTGAAACTGCAAGCCCGCCAGACCGTCACAAATGAGACCGTCCTCTTGTGGGCGCAGCGGGCAGCTGCCGATCATGAGAAGAAAGCGCCGAAGGATTGTCCTATCAAGCAGAAGGCTCGGCTGTTGAGGGGGACCTTGCGTTTCCCCTTTTCACAAACTCTTGTTACACAGGCTCGCACCATCACACAGTCGTAACGGGAATAGGAGCTTGGTAGTAGCTGATGCTAGCATTTATGTGCCAGGCTAGCCAATATATTTCTAAACTGGCCCAACATGAATTAAGACTAGTTGTTGCCCTGATCAGAAAATGGCACAGCGTGATGCCGCTGGCATGGCCGAGCTGCTCGAAGTGTGCTGCCTTTGGCACTCCACATGGGCCACGCTGCAAACATACATTGGGGCTGGCGATGCTCTCGAAAAGATCGACGCCATGTGGAAACAAGGGTGTCCTGGGCTAAAGTTTGCAAAACGAGGTGAAAACGATGTATAAACTGACCCCTCAGTAGCAAGCCAAAATATACAGTGGTTTTTAAATTACGAGATATTTTTTAGTAGACCATGGGGGGGGCAAATATTTTCTGGACCAACTGCCAAGTCTGATTTTGTTTTTGCCATCTTCATAACCCTCTAATCTATACATCGGTTTTTAAATTCCGAGACATTTTTTGGGCTTCCCCCCTTGCTCCCAAACTTGTCTCGGTTTTGAGGAGCCCTGCACATTCACAAGAGGCAACCCCCAAAAACTTGGCTCATCCCCCCAAAAAAAACGAGACATCGTCTAGGGACCTCCCAAAAAAAACGAGACATCGTCTAGGGACCTCCCAAAAAAACCGAGACATCGTCTAGGGGCCTCCAAAAAAAAACGAGACATCGTCTAGGGACCTCCCAAAAAAACCGAGACATCGTCTAGGGGCCTCCCCAAAAAAACGAGACATCGTCTGGGGTCCTCCCAAAAAAAACGAGACATCTATTGGGGGCCTCCCCAAAAAAACGAGACATCGTCTAGGGGCCTCCCCAAAAAAACGAGACATCGTCTGGGGGCCTCCCAAAAAAAACAAGACATCGTCTAGGGGCTTCCCAAAAAACGAGACATTTCTTAGGGGGCTCCCCAGGCCTCCCCCAAAAAACGAGACATCCCTTGGGGGCCTCCCCAAAAAAACGAGACATCGTCTAGGGGCTTCCCAAAAAACGAGACATCCTGTAGGGACCTCCCCAAAAAAAACGAGACATTGAACAAAGGCCCCCGAGGAAACAATGGAGACAATGTCGTTCTCAGAGCCTGGGGCATCTCATGTTATGTTCAGGACCTTGAGGCATGTCTTGCTTTGTTAGGAGTTGAGGGAATACCACAAACATGTCTCATTTTGTGAGCCTTGCTCTTTTTGAGAATGATCCCCAAAGGAATGTTTTCTTGCTGGAATCATCCAGGAGACAGTGGTCCCTCAAGCCCATTGACCCATATTGAGCAACACAACCATCTTTCGCTTCCGAAGCTGAGCTGGAACAAAAGCAACATGAGCAACACCATGATAGCATACAATTTGCACCAAACTTGCGCTTTAATCCAGACTGGATATCTTTGTGTTTTGTGGCCGCCGCTGAGGATGCTTGACCAGGAGCTCAAGATGCATGTGAAATCGCAAAGCGCCGACTTTGACTGCAAGAAGCTGTCCTTCGTCTTGGAGGCCAAGGGCGTCGTGCAGGACTATGAGATCGAGCGCGCCCAGGGCCGGATCCAGTCAGCGTTCAAGCAGTCCTTGGTTGCGGGCTGGAACCTGTTCAAAACAAACCTGGAGTCGGACCAGGTGGCCCACCGCAGGCACTTGGTGGCAGCTTCTGGAGATACCCAACGGGCCAGGGCAGGGGTGGTCAATGCGTTGCAGGACTCGGGTTCTACCTCAAAATGCGATCAGTGCATGTTATTCAGCCAGGAAAAATGTAAGAATTATTATCATGGTATTTGTGCCAAGAAATCCAAACACTGAAATTATTTTGTGCTCGACTGTTTCCTCGCCAACCCTTGACAGAAGATGCACGAGACTGCATGGCGCCTGGTGAATGATGAGATCAGCACTAGCTGTCCCACGTGGAACAACGCGCCCACCAAAGGCAGTTGCAATTTGCCAAATATGCAACATGTATTGTCATATTTGGCAGTGTTTTTTGTCAAACATCATTTAAAAGGGGTTTACATGCACACTCCGGATGAGAACTACCGCCAACAGTTCATACCACCCTGACATCTTTTTTTGCCCAACGACGTGTTTGTTGCTGTTTGCCTGGTGGCAACAGGTCCCTCCCCGTCTTGGTATCTGGGCATGCCATTTGTGTGTTAGGACAAGACCAGCAAAGAAACTGTCAGTTCTTGCACGAAGCTGGTATGTGGCTTGAAAGGCTACAGGAACACTTAGTTTTGGGATTTCTTGCACTTGCTTCTGACTTGGCAGGCGCCCACTCAGAGGCAGAGGCGGATGCGGACAACAGCGGGGCCCTGTCTGCCAAAATGGAACCATGGTTGCAGGCAACGTTGGCTGGCTTCAATGGTGGCATTCGCCGAGCCGACAATGAGTGCATCATTGGGTTTGTCAACTTCCCGGTGGCTGGAGTTGTTTCCTCGTGGAAGCAACACTTTGCCTTGCAGCAGGTCACATCGTTGTGCCACGCGTTCCCACGAACCTTTCTTGCTGTACTAGTCCTTCCAAACAGGGCCGGGGACTTGCGATCCTCTGCATCGAAGTGCCTTGCCTGTTTAGCTTTGCCTGCTCTTTTCACCTAAATGGGGTTAACGAGAGGTTCTAATTCACCAAGAAGGGAATCCCACTCACACCAAAGAACGATATCAAGAAGAACATTGAGTTGTTTGTTGGTACTTGTTCGATCTTATCATATTTCCCTCTATCCAACCCTGCCTGAAGCCCCACACCCAACCCCTGAGTTTCCAGGCAGCATCTCCATCTCCAGCCCAAACCTGGCACGAAGATATGAGCTAAAATGCACACATGGGGTTGACATCACATGACCCGCTGTCTTACTAAGGGCTGAGAAGGCGGAGGAGTCTGACGAAGGCAGAGAGGACAACGAGCAAGACGAGGATGTCAAAGAAGAGAAAGGAGATTGTGCCTTGTCAAGGTAAAGCAACACTTTCTTTCAGAGTCACGTTCCTTTTGGTGGGACATTTCTAAACTACTCAGTGGCTTTGCACCATTGGGTTCTACATGGTGGCATGGTGGCTGGCCAGGTGCGGATGATGATGAGCCACTAGATGCTGACAGCATCTTGCGAGACTTTCACCACAAGCTGCAATGTGCCTACATGGAGAGGGAGCGCAACCTCAAGGTGAGGCTTGGGCAGGTCATCTTCTCGCCAAGCAGCGTCTACGGCACTCGTTCAGCCTTCCATCAAGTTCTGCTGGTCATGGCGAACGATCGCCAGAATGTGTTCCAGAAGTCTTCTTTCTGGAAGACTCGGGTGGTGTCTGATGTGGAGATGCTGCCTCGGGCATCCATGGTCAAGCTCCCCAAAGGGGACACACGGTATGGTTCAGAGGGTCGCTTTACCCGTGTTCAGGAGCTGAAGCAGGTGCCTAAATCAAAACCAGTAGCAGGCTTTGCTAATTTTGTCGTTCAATGCTCACAAGAGGTTGTGGCAAGCAAGCCCCCTCAGCCTCTTCATGAATTTAATGCGGTCATTGGGCAAGGCCTGCGGTGGGACTTCGTTCTGCGGCTCCATCTTCGAGGCCCTTCTCCCTCACAACGACTGCCCGACTTGCATCCTGGACTTCCTTGGCTACGACTCGTGGCCCGCGACGTATGCCATGACGCAAGTGTCGCGAGGCGACTCTACACCAAACGATTCAATTTTTCTACGGTGCCCACATACTGGGAAAGGCCAACAACTAAATGTTGATGCTGATCAAAGCAGCCTCTTTTCCACTCATGTTGCAAGTTTCTACCCGGACAGTGTTTGTGGCAAAATGTTTATACAACGTGATTCTTTATGCGGGTTTGCGCATGCGAGCAGGCCGCCGATGGGCGGCGGGCAGCATAGGCCACAGCAACTCGGAGACCACCCACTGCGCAAACTTGATTGCGCAAAAGGTGTTCGGGCTTGCGCGGTCTGCGGCCCTGAAGGTCGCAGGGTTCCCTCGCTTTGAGGAGGCAATCCAGGAATTGCAGAGCCTCCAGACTGTGCAAACCCCAAGCTACGAGGTGACGGTCGCTCTTCCGGATGGAACACTGGTGGTAAAGGACGCAGTTTTGGACCTTTGGCAGCGGAAGCACACGGACTTCGCCCAGGAATGCTCAGCGCTGCTGGAGGACCATGACAAGGAGTTCAACCCGAAACATGTGCGGCGCGGTGGCAGCGAGGTGAACGACAACAGCACTTGCGAGCTGCCGAACAAGAAGCTTGTGACAGAGGGCACCCTTGACAAGGAAGAGTTTGAGAAGAACCGCGCTGACAGGCATGCCAATTTATCAAATATTCCTCACACACGTGTTTTTTAATTCATGAAACAAATGGGGCCCAAGGGGTCAAGGGGACATGCAACGCTAGGACCAACCCGTGGTTTCTCCAGGAGTCCAGGCATGCCAGCCACTCAATGACAATGCTTTGAGGGTTCACAAATCACGACATGGTTGGCTCTTATTTGGGACCCCCTCATCTGGCTGGACACTGGTTGTAGACAAGCCCATCTTGGCCCTTTGAACTCTACTTGAAATTTACTTGCGGCTTGTTTCAAACACAACTCAAACACCCAGTGCTTGAACATATGTTAATTGTTTCAAGCAAATGGACGCTATTGTGCAATTGGTATTTGCTCCCAGTAGCTAGTTGCCAACCCACATGCCCAAGCAGGTGCGAGTGTTTGATGTCAGCTGCCTCTTCTTGTGTTTGGGCATGTTTGCCTTGGTTTGAATCGGTAGTTGGAACCCAGCAGCCCGTCTTCAACGCAGGCTGAACCCTTGCTTCCTTCCAGCTGTTTGCATGCTGAGCATAATCAATGTTGCCTGTTTCCCATTGGCCATTGAACAGGTTGACCCTCTCCTGTGGAGCTGTGCAGCTGCATTGGTGCCCCCAGACATCCCAGCTCTTCATCACCAGTGAGGCACAGCATACTGCAGAGGCCGGCATGGAGCTGTTCAGCTTCGGGTCAGGTGACTTCTTGTCTTCGACTGAAGCCTCTGATGTGATGTCTGATACGACATCCGGGGGCCGATGGCTTGTGTATGACCTTTTCGGAGAAGGCGACAAGCTTGTGCTACTTGAGAGTGATGCAAAGCTGCCCCAACACCTGCAGAGCCTGGACGTCTTCAACAAAGTTCTTTGACAGCGCAGTGTTTGCTGGCAAGCTTTCTGTAGCCTTTGGCCGGCTCTTTTCTTGGTAGTTGCTAAGAAAACCAACCAGTCTGGCAAGTTTGGTACCCAGTGCCAAGCGCAGTGACTGTTAGCAATCTTGATGACCCCTGAGTACATTTACCTGGAAAAAACAGAAACACATGCCGCTTCCCTAACCAACAAATAGCGTGGGTAGGACTTTGATGCACTCAGCCACACACTCACACAAAGGGTGAATAAACACACACCATGTGCCTCAACTGTTTGAGCTTGTTCCCCATGTTAGCCCCTTGTGACCTGGTTGCTGCGATTTGGTGAATGATCTTTTCCAACCCTTCAGCCCAATTGCCTAATATCCTACTCATCTACTCCAAATTCAAAATGCCACACAAAAACCCAGCTCTAGACTTGCGTGTGTGGGTGCTCTGTGCGTGATGCATTCACTGCTCTACACTCCTTTTGCAGGCTTTCTCCTGCACACCCCTTTTCACTCACAAGGGATTGCCTTTTTTGTGAATGCTGATCGATCCTTTTTGTCTAAAAAAAAGAAGGGGTTGTGCTTCCTTTAATCCTTTCCGGCTTGCCACTTCCCTGCTCAAAGGTCATGACCTTGGGCCACTTGGTGAGGAAGTTCGAGAACCAGGGGGTTGTGAACATTGGGGTTCTGGAGCATGGGCTGGCAAAGAATGAGTCCGGCGCCATCAAGATGAGTGTCAACACCAAAGTTTGCTTCGCCTTAGATACCCTGAGGGTGCGGAAAAAACAGAAGGCAGGGCAGGTTTGCTGTTGGCCGGTCTTCCCCCTAGCCCCCAAGCCTCGTTCAGGTGGGAAACTGCAGCGCTCTCACCTTTGGCGCGAAGATTGACCTGGCAAAGGTCCGATGCAGCCAGAACTTGACCATTGCATGGCGCATGAGGCCTTTTGGATGGGCCAATGTGTTACTGTTTTTTTTTTGCAATTGCCAGGTTGCACCTGGAGGCTGGCCAAAATGAGAAACTGGTACCAGTGAGACCAACCTGCTTGTTAGCAGGAGATCTTGTCGTTTCGCCTGGGCAAGCAATCCAGCTGTTGTAGATTGGCCACTCCATCCCCATCTCAGAATTCTAAAACATGATCTTTTGCAATTTCTGAATGCCTCAACACATGGTTCAACTATATGGTACATGTTTCTATTGCTTCTACAGTTTCCCTGGTTGGAAAGGGGATTTGTGGCCAATGATAGACATGCCTGCAACAAGCATGGCCTAATCTTAGATTCAGATCCAGTGGCAAGTGTCTTTGAGTGACCTTGCGATGCCGGGGCCCGTGCCAGTGCAATGCAGTGGCGTCTGTCACAGCGACCTTGCCGGGGTGCAAACAAGGTGACGTTTACACAGATTGTGAGAGTCTTGCTTGTATCACCTTGTGGCACTTTGTGGCACTTTGTGGCACCTTGTAACTTGCAACTTGTGAGTGGCGCAACACTGGCTTTTGCCGATCTTAGGGGCAATTGGTGTTGTAGGGCTTTATATGGGGCAAGGGGGGCGCCATGTCTTCCTCACCAAGTGACTCGCCTGTTGTGGGGGCAGCCGGCAATGCAATAGTGATGCAAAGCTTCTCGGTCAATGACTATGAGCCTTTGATGGCTGCAGCTTCTACTCCGCCACCGGTGGCTTCTACAACAATCCCAGCAGTTGCTTCTACAGGTGGCGCTGGCCCTAGCCTTGTTGTGTAATTTCTATGCGAATTAAATCATCTTGGGACCGTATGAGGTTTGCTACAGCGATGCGACCTTGATGAGTCTGAAACCCCGTCTTCAGATGCAGAGCAAAAGAAAGGGAAGCGCAAAGATGGCGGCAGCAGCAGCAAGGCACAGAAGGGAAGCAAGCAAAAGAAGAAGACACAGGAGGACAAGGGCAAAAGCCCGGACAGGACAGGCAATCCTAAGAATGACGATGATGATGAGGAGCCAGATGATGAGTCACTGCCCACCGGACGCAAGAAGACAAGTGACTCAAAGAAGAACAGCAAAAAAAGCAAACAAGATAAGGGCAAAAAGGAGAAGGACAAAAAAAGCAAGAAGGGCAAAGGCAAAGCTTCTAAAGGCAAGAAACGTGGGGAAACAGAGCCCGATGGCAACACAAGCAGCCCTTTGCCCCAAAGTGCGGAGCTAGCTGTGACCCAAGCTGATGAAGCTGAGATCCAGGCGATTGCCCGAAGGACAGTGGACTTGACCTTGAGCGATGGTGAGGCCGGGCCCCAAATGTTGCCCCTCCGTAAACCCTTGAGGAAGCTCCTGCTTTTCGCTTGTATATTGATCCCTCTTTGGCAAAGGAGTTTGCCCTTTGTAACCCCTCAGAAACTTCCCTCTTTAAAGCCCCGCCAAAGACTTCACATTGTATCAATTGATGCTTCTGTGGCTCAGGAACTTACCCTCTGTAAACCTTTAGGCAGTCCCCTCTTCAAACCCTCCTCACACTTTACATTGCAAAAATGACCTCTCTTTGGCTCAGGAATTGTCCCTCTACAAGCTCTCATGCAATAGACCCTCCTCAAACTTTACATTGTAAAAATGACCCCTCATCAGCTCAGGAATTATCTCTCTGTAAACCCTCAGGAAGTTTTCTTGGTAAATCCTCCCTGGATGTTACATCAGAACAGTGACCCCTCTTTGGCTCAGGAATATACTTTAAAGCCTCAAGACTCAATGAGGTTGTTTGGATTGCAACTCTTTTGCTCAGGAGTTTCCCGACAGACAGCCGGACATGCTCGACACTTTGTTGGATGCCCCGGATGGTGACACTCAGGCAGGAAGCTGCAAATAATTTTCAGCTGCCAATTGTTGAGTTTTGGGTCGCCTCATCTTGTTTCATGCCCCGCCAGTGCATGATTGATCCTGGCAATCTGCAGCCTAAGACCCTGGAAAAACCAAGATTGAGAAGGAGCACGCCACTGCAATTTTCGCCTTTGGCAGCTTGTCCACACCTTCGGTTGGCAAAATCTCTGACCCCTTTTTGGAAAGGTCTTTGACGCTGTGTATTGTTTGAAGGTTTCTTTGGGACAGTCATTGGTAACATCATCCCACGCATAGGAAAAGTCCAATGTGGAGTCGCCTTCTCTGGCACCTATCATTGCTGACCTTCGGGGCTGCAAACTGGCTGATGTGTCGGCTGGTGCTTCGATATGCAATGAGCAGGACTAGTTGCATGCGATGCTTTGGATGAGTTACCCATGCCAAATCTACACATAGTGGGTCACTGCAAATTTCTCCTTTTTGAGGGCTGTGGTGAACTTGAAGTTGACAATAAAGGCACCAAGCATGGTTCAATGCCATTTGGACTCAAGTGCAGAACATGCTGAAACATGTTGGGTTGGGGGGACATGCAGGATGGCCCGATCGAGAGCCCTGATTCGATGGCTGAGACCGTGGACTGACCAGTTGTCAGCTGCAGACCTGCTTGCCCCTGATCCCACCCCTGCCAACTCCCTGCCAGGACTTGGGCCAATGGTCGTCCGGCATCGCTGGCACGCCTCAGGAGTGGCTGTGGTCGCTGGGTGGGCCAAACAGAGGGCCAAACAGAGTCAACACTTCGCATTTGACAACTCACAACCTTGTGTCTGTTTGTAAGGAGTAAGTCTAGTTTGCTTCCGGCATTGAAAGTTGAAAGCTTTCAAAAGCATGCCTGATACCCTGCAGGACACTGTGGTGTTTGGCCCTGATCCACCGCCGAAGAAGACACCAACGGCGGCCAAATCGAAGCCCAAGGCGAAAGCCAAAAAGATGCCAGTGCCACCAGTGCCAAAGGCAAAGAGTGCTGCAAAGGGCACACGTGGTTCCAAGGATGCAAGTGCTGCCAAAAGTGCTGCCAAAGCAAAGGCAAAAGCCAAAGCTTGCCCTCATGCAAAAGCCAAGGCAACTCGTGCAAAGAAACCAGACAATTACAACCGGGTTTACTCTCGGGTTTACCGGCAGATCTGTGCCGAAGGCCGATCTGTGGAAGAAGCTAGGGAAATGGCACGCGAGAAAGCTCGCAGCTTTGCGCGCACCTGTCCGGTCTGAGGACGGCGCCATATCCATTTTGGCCAGTGTTCGGATTGGTCGGATTTGAGCCAACATGTGGGGAAAAGGCAGGCGGCCGAGCTGTGCTTTGGTTGCAGGTCCACAGGTCCAGTGCCATGGGGCATGCCTTCATGCCTTCATGAAGTTAGGGAGATGCAACAAAGATGAAGTCTCGCTTTGATATGGGAGAAGTTCTGGTTCCAATGGGGCTTCCTTACTTACAATCGCTGCTTTACGAGTTCTTCTAAAAGTTCCTGAGTTTACTGGTGGCTTCCATTTTTGGAGGTTCCAGGGAACCAAACCGCGGAAAAAACCGACCCCCGAACCCCAAACCCTCGGAAAAAACAGCCCCCCGCTTCACCTCGGCGCCAAGCGCCCGCTTCGCCCCGGTCTGCGTCTCTCCGCGCCTTGGAAGGTGGTGAGCAACCTGCGCACCATAGGCCTCGGATCGGGATGAGAGAGAAGCGCGTCCAGAGGAGTCTCCTGGGTGTCTGGACCCGTTTTGGCTTCGTCCGGCAAAAGCGTCCAGTGGCCACATGGGTGTGTCGGTTGCTGCAACGACCCCCCAGCAAAAAGTGGACCACTTTTTTGGGGGTTTAGTGGAAAACACCTTTATTTCAACCAAAACGTTAAAGTCTAAAGATCCAACCCAATAGCAGTCAAGTGTGTGTCTGCTGTTTGGATTCCCTTTGAAACCACCAAGAAGGGGTACAGACCCACATCTCAAATGGGAGCTCTCGCGGGTCCAGGATGTAGAAGACTGATACTGTGGATGGTTGCGAAATCCAGAAATCGCATCACCCGAGAAGCCATAGACTGATGATTCACCTGTAAATGCCAACAAACAGTGGTTTCCCATGGTTTTAAAGTGGTGCAGGATTTCGTCCATCCACAGTATGTCCAGTAGTGATGAATTCCCTGAGACATCAAAAGGGGAAATGAACAATAAGCCC